AAGTTTCCTATGACAAGTTACTGTATTGTTTTGTTTCTGCCTTTTGATCAAGTGATCGGCGTACCGTGACATTAAATGTCTTGCTTTGAAGCGGGTAGAAACAGAACGGTAAACCCTGATGGGTTTTCTGCCTGAGTAGGAGCAGGATCTCTTAGAGAATGAACCCAAAGCATGTTTAAATTGTTGATCTCGTTCATTTTAGGTAACATCTTCTTGGTTCTTAGTTTTGAGCTGATTATGTGAATTTTAGTCTTCCTCGTGTCTCCTACACCGAAGGCTCCGCGGTTGCGGTCGTCGAAAGCGAGTTATGTCGAAGTGCATTCCGGGGAACCGTTCACCGTCGCTTGTCATGTATTGTCCATGGACAGCTCTGTTACCATCCAATGGTTTCACAACGGCGTTCTTCTACCGATTTCCGGCCTTTCGTCAACGCTGTTGGTCTCTAACGCTAGCGAAGTAGACGCCGGCGAGTACTTCTGTAAAGTACGCAACGAGCACGGCGCCGTGCTGTCCCCGTCAACCTTCGTCATCGTTCGCTACTTTCGCGGATTTGTTGTCGGATTTGAACAGCCGGTGGCAACTGTTAGGGCACAGATCGGTGGATGGGCGATTTTGAAGCCCCCGCCTCTGGATGCGGTCTCGGCACACATCGATTGGCGATGGCATTACGGAGAATCACCGGTAGGCGAATGGTTTCTCAAACGAAAGCTTTTTGTTTTTCTGTTCATTAAGATGTTACTGACATTTAGTCTTTCCCAAAAGTTATTGCGTGCACATTTGCAGTCACTGGCAGTAACCCCTCATGTATGTATGTATGTATATATCACACATTTTCTGGAGTTTCAAATCATACGTAATGCGTTATATATATATAACGCATTACGTATGATTTGAAACTCCAGAAAATGTGTGAAATAAATCAGCTCTAACGTGCTCTTCGTAACTGATATTTGCTGCGGCTTTTACAAAATTTTTAGTATGATGGGTAGCAATGATGTTATCACATCAGTCTTGTTCGAGTCAATGTTGGATGAGGACCTTTCCTAGACTTTGCTGCACATTTCTCTTCTTCCATTCCTTTCCACCTTGGTCGAAAAAATGTTTTCAGCTCATCTTGCCGTCGAATTGTAAAACTTTATATTGGCCGTTTGCTATGTCGTGCAATCTAGCCTTGCGTTTCTCTGGTCCAGCGATGGTAGGTACTTCTTGCTACGTATTTTGCCCATTGCCACTTTCAAATTTTTTCACACGTTAAATGGTATCTTAGAATTCTGTTTCTGCTTCTACTCATTCGTTCACCTTACTAGTTTTAAATTTTTATTCTCAAATTTTTTTGCGCATTTGAGTTCCCTTTTTTTGTAGTTCATAAACGTCTGTCGTGCTTAATGTCTATATTTCTCATCGACATGTATGTAGTAATAGTAGGTGGGTAGTAGGTATAATACTGATCCTTTCCTCCATTTCGGTATTAATAGTTACCAAAATTCGGTGTTGTTTGGCTATAATTGCAGGATCAGTGTTACAATTATCCCTTGAAGTAGTTCCGAGACTAGTATGGCTTATACCGTAACTACTATTTAAAGCAGTGTGCCACTTCTGTTAGTAGTATTGAAACTAGCGTTACTTTTACTGTCGGTATTAGCAATGCGAGAAATGGTGATTGTATCATTACTGCTAAATTAATAATAACGTAGCTGGTTCTAGAAGTGGTTGCACTAACATTACTGTTAAGAATGTTGCTACTGATAATGCTCTCCTATCACTCCTTGAATTACCAGTATCACCATATCACCATTACTGGTAATAATTCCAGTGCTACCATCTCTAAGACTTAGATATTGATAGCTTAGCAAAAACCAGCGCTATTTTTCGCAATGCTAGAAATGGCGGCACAAGTTATCAATTACTAACAGAAGTGGTACACTGCTTCAACTGCTAGTTTTGGTATTAATAATATTGGTCTTGAAAGTACTTCTAGGGCTAATGGTTTTACCAGTCTTGCAATTATAACGGAAATATTAGTATCTGATTTTCATTACTACTAATACCGAAAGGGTTATATAATTACTACTTACGACTATTATTACATATGGATCGATGCGACATGTGGTCCATGAACACGAAAATTCAAGCAGATACTGTGGAACGTAACGTTGTTTTGTGGAGCGAATGATGTTTGTTGAATCACCCTGTAAGTCTCACAAAATAGAAGTTTGCGGCAAAGCATTCCAGATCTTCGCCCAACAGCGAATCGAAAAAATCTAATGTGATTATTAGTTCTGTGGAGAGTAGCACTGAGACTGTTTTTGTTAATGTTGCTGCTAACCTTCGATTCCATGTACAGGCGGCCGAAACGGGCTCTGTGTGACGAATCGCTTAGCTCACGTAGTTCGTCATGGCCCGGGGTACAGATGTCAGAGAGATCCTTAGTGTATAGCATCTGCTTCTCCAAAATGATAAGTCACAGCTGCGATGGTTTGGACACTTCTTGCGAACGGTTCCACAAAAATGGCGAAACAGCTGCTACTTGTCAAACAGACCGACCATGGATCGAGAACGTTGTTTGGCACTGTCCGGTGCGTTTGCCTCCATGACATGAAAAGATAAGCGGTCATCGAAACTGACTGACTCATGTTGCTACCGAACTTGCTGCCATCACCAAAACTAGCACTACCGTTACTGGCATTGCTGGTAACCGTTACTGCTATAAGAGCTACCCCTTTTTCTAGAAGGAAAAATACGAGATCCCTATCCTATGCCAGAGTCTGAGCTTCGGCAGAAGATAACCGGAGTCTAGGGCATCTTCCTTCCATATTATTGCACCAGGTTAATCGTGACTCTGTCCTGGGCCTTCTCCTGGTCGGCCGATGAAGAAGTAGTTGCCTCGTCTTCCTTTCTGGAGGCATACGCAACACATTCCGAAACTATCTCAGCTGTGACTTCTCAGTCTGAAGAAGCAGTTACTGTA